TCAACTTTCTTGTTTTTTTGTCTAGTTTCAAAAGCCTTAAGTAAAGAAATATGCAAAAATCTTCTATTTACGTTTGTTGCAACGAGACTTTTAAGCAAATATATTCATCAACAGGTAACATACAGAAATACATAGTGTCTCATAAAGATAACATGCGAGACAAAGTTAAATGATTTTAAAAGATCTCGGTAACCAATAGGAGTAGAATAAAAATATAAAACGAAATTGTTTGTCTTTTACATTTAATTTGTATGGTGACCATCCAAAATGTGTGGAAAATTTTTACGAACTGAACCCCGCATTCAAACACCACTTTATAGGGACAAAATATGGCCGGTTTGCGAACTCGTTCAAATGGATGTTGGCTTACACGTGTAACATGGATTTCTCAAAATGTTTAGCTTTATAAAGGATTCCTGTACTTCAGGCATTTTGAATGACCATTTGTAATTTGTTTAACAATTCCTAAGATAAAATACTCGATTTTATTATCACAAGTGCGCATTATGGAGCTAATGTAATTTGGACAGAAGAAAAAGTCTAACTAAATTGACACTATTATTTCAAGGCAAATTATACACATAATTTTGTTTCACAGTCACTTTGTTTGTTGACACTGGTAATGAAATCTCAAAATTTTTTATAGTTTCAAATAGTTACTGTATGGTGTTTCTAGGGTTCATAATTGCTGCTAGAATGTTGAACGCCTTTAAATGTTGAGGTTACTATCCTAAATTACTACATTCTTGCACTGTGGATTCTTGAGCTGGTTATTCTTAATCTAAAGTGCATTTCTTTTGATACAAATCTACGGTTGAGTAGCAAGAAGTATTGGTGGAAATATCATAAAGAGACTAAAACACCCAAACAATGCCTTTGGACAAAAAATGTTTGGGTCTTTTCAAGAAGATAGTCACGACGCCCTATGCAAATTAAGCTATGTTAGGTTACCTTTTCATTTGCTAAGGGCCTATCTTGAAAAGACTTTATGGATCAACAATCTTCTAAACCGGTTAAAGTTAAACGCAATGAGGATGGATGAATGAATGAAAATACCTTTTTATTGAGGCGTACATTAGGACCACATGGTAATTTCTTACAGTTAATCTAGTATATAAGATGTTAAGTTAACCTCTTATGTACTAAATATAAACCAAACAATACATTATTATAACACTTTTGAAACTATAAACAAAATAATAAGTAACAACTTAAGTTATAAATCTTTGTCCCTAATATACGCATATACACACATTCACTCTTTGCCACACCCAGGCCTAACGCACGCCATCCCTCCGCTTGGTAATCCGATCGAGATACAGTAGTACGCTTTCAGCGCCGCCGTCGGTCTGGAACGGGATTCTATGCTCCTGATAGTGAATGGTAGGGAGTTCCAAAAGGCGACATGCTGTTGTAAATGATCTATTAAAAACTGTTGTCTTATGGTGAGAAATTTGGAGAGTTGATGAGCCAGAGCGGGTATTTCTTGCACATCTACCATTTAAAAATCTGAGATTGATGGCCGAACGAGTAATAATAATAATGCGTATTTCTCTAACGTCGGACAGTTTTAAAAGAGAAGAATTTATATGATACGGGGTGACGTGATCATCTCGTCGAAGATTCAAATATCTTGTACAGTAATAGAGGACGATTACGATAGAAAGAAGACAAAAACTCATGACTGCGGTAAACGTCAAGTGGGGATCACATCTACTGTCACAGTTTAGCGAAGTCAATGACTAGACTTTCCAGTAACCGACGTTCCTTGACATGTGAGGCATGTTGAAACTGGATCTCAGACAGAACGTGCTGGAGCCGATATAACACTGCCCTCGATAGATAATCCGACAAATCACCACGTCTTTGCCAGATAGCCACTGATACATTAAATAGGTATTTAGCTGAAAATTGAGGAATTGTCAGCAATTTTAAGGGAATCTAGTGTAAAAAAAATGCTTGCTTAAACATTAAACTCAATACAGGTTCAATATTCCATTTATTATTTTGACATACTCCGTTGACCGATTTGGAAGGAGAAATTGTATGAACATCTATTTTGATCCAAAAGCAAGAAATAACAAATACAATTTAAATTCTACCACTAGATGGTTTAGGAAATGGTTTTTTAGTCTTTTAGATCGAATAGCTAGTTTTCGATAGTATATTTATATTGGTAATCCTATTAGGGATTTCTAGTCGCTAATCGTTGTAATCCTTGATTTCCATAACTCGATCATCACTCTTGCCCAGCAGCGCGATGGCAATCAAGATTGCACGTTTGGTAATTTAAATATGTGACTGTGTTCCAATAATGCTCTATAGTTAGGCAGTATAATAGGTATGTTCAGTTAATGAAAAATACGACGATTGTTGTTGTTATCATAATTACAATGATTTAGGTATTTCTAGATCTTTGAAAACCTTCGAAGGAATTGTGAACATAATGAACGAAACTTTAGGATGACAATAAGGATTCTCTTTCTATTGGGCCTCTAATCTTATACATAAGTATCCTTCGCATCCTATTGTGGGATCTAAAGAATATGCCAGAAACAATGCAGTTGTCATTATAAAAGCAAAACATCCGACAGTGAGACAATCAATAAAAAAAATTAGGAGAAGGGAAAATACTCCCTGAAAAGACTAGCGATTGTTTACAAACATATATTTTTATTTTGATAAAACTGTTTTAAATTGGTAAAATATTAAATAATAAATAAAAAGTCAGAACCGATATTACATACACCAGAAAAGGACGCCTAAACCCTATTTCAACTGATATATAACAAAATTATTAAACTACGAGGAACTGGTTGACCAAATTGCAATATGTATTATGCTTACAAAATTGTATCCATTACTTTCTTTACAATAATACACAGTTGAGAGATACATTTAGTCAATTTAAACTACTAGTGTACATATTGCTCGAATTCGAGCAATTGCAAAGTATTACAGGGGTTATTTCAAAACCAATAACAGTCATATTTACAATGAGTTTAAAAAGAGTCAACTCAAATATTACCATTGTGTAACTCAGACCCTGATTACCTGGTTATCTTCGTTATTGATAAACCTAAAGCATTCCGGCTGGTTTTCTCCTTCTGAAAATGCCTCGCTGTACAGGCAACACATGTCATTGATAGAGGGTCAATTGAGAACGAAAAGTCTTTTAGGGGTAGTGTTAGCTCGCATTCGTAACCTAATAGTTGAGATTGTCCAGGGTCAGGTGCTGACGTGTACGCCTCCTTTCTATGTTTCGTTGTTGTCGCGTCGGAGGCATTTAAAAGAAAAAAAACAACAAATAAACAAATTATAGCTACACAAAAAAACGATAAATACACAAATTTAAGATACAACCATACTAACACGGTCCGTTTTCGTTTTGGGGGTTATGTTTACACAAACTCAAATAGTAAATAAATTTACTCAATGCGTTTCATTGAATCGAAAAATAAATAACAGCAATTAAATTATACAGCTGATCAAAACGTAAACAATTATGTTCTTCATAAGGATAACATGGGAACTTTCAAAGCCACTGGGACAAAACCCAAGCGACTTTGTCAACAATGTAAGGCCAGTTTGCAAATCTACGCGACACGCTTTTTCCAATGAGATGTCAATGGATAAAATCGGTTAAGAAATGGCGGAGGAGTTCAACCGACAAAGTTTCATGTAGCGTATTAATTATATAGATATGAAATTGCGTTACGAGAAATCCACCGATTTACAGTATTAATAGGCGGCGGGAACCCATTTACTAATCGAAATGATCACTGGCAAAGTTTAAGTTTGTCACCCCATATCCTACAATATAAAGTAAAATAATCCATTATAAAGCTATTTTTTTATTTTATTTAAATTAAATACGTAATTTGATTTCCCTTAAGTATTCCGGTAATTTAGTTCGACTGTAAACTAAAATATAGGCATATTTTAATATTCGTAATATAAATTTGTATCACAAACTAAAATATATCAGTTTGTGTTTGAGTCAAAACATAAAAAAATTAAATCTCGGAGTAATTTATTTTATAGTTTTAAAAATTGTAATTGATAATATATGAAGCGGGGTTGTCGTTTTTCGCACACTATGGTGTACCGAGATATTGACTTTCAAAATTTCAATCCGTATTATGATGGCTATAAGTGGCGTATTAATGAAAGAGAAGTTGGTCGAATAACTTGCACGCTTTCTCTACATCGGACGTTATGCCACGCTACATATACAGTAACGTTAGTCGGTAGACGTCAGCCGAAGCGTAGTGGCAATTGTGCTAAAGAAAAACATTGAACAGGGTAAAAATCGGATCTTCGTAAATTTGTATAATACACGATCCTACTTGTTTTGGCCACTGAATCATATCAGAGAACTGAGAAGCTATCTAAATTACTTATAACATAATGTAAATACGGCAACACATCTTTTAACACACCACACACATGAACCACACTGCTGTTGCATCACATATTTGCCATGTAATAAGGAAATAGTTCTTTAATAAATGACTGTACTCAGAGGTATTATATACAGTCTTATACAGATTTAATACTACCTACTTAAATGTTAAAATTTTCTATGGATGGAGAATATTTCCATTTATTCAATGTTTAATGGTTCTGATAAAAGTTTGTACTTGGTTATTTAGTAAATAACCTTCTACGCAGTACAATTTATTTCAAATTATTGATGTATTGTAGAATATTTAATCCATGACTAAGATTTTTTCAAATTATTAAAAAAAAAGAATTTTTTTTAAATAATTTGAAAAAAAATCTTAGTACCTATTCAGTATTTTCAAGGACTAATATGTGTTTAATTTACCACTAAAAAAAGTGTGATATTGAATAAAAACCTATGGTATTTCATAGTTAGCGATTTGCATCAGAGACTAGAGAGCAAATAACACAGACAACCGCTAGGAAGGTCCAGAGCAATAAACAACTGAAATCATAAGTTCCTCTGGTGTGATATATAAGTTATGATAGCTTACCTCATTCAAACCTTCGTACCGACGATTCCCTTTGAAAATTCCAAATTAATTGTCAAGCAGTTTGAATTCTGATAATGAAGAAGTATTCAAAATCTGAAACATACAATAGTGTGTTCTAGAACATGTTTTACAAAAATAGTAACACACATGAAATGAACGAAGGTGATAGATAACTAACCTTAATACTCAGTTTGACAATATCAGCTGGACGTAGGCCTAAGCTATTAATATTCCTAAAACACAAAAACAATCTTCCGATGCAGTTTCATGATTAAAGTCATTATATTATCTATTTGTTGAAAGTTTTAACATTATTTCGTATCAAACGTGATACGTAGTGATCTCTAGTTTTTATATTATTGTGTGGAGAAATCAGAGGTTGTTTTCTACATCACCAACTTGGTGTCTTACAATTTATGTGGAATGTATTATCAAAATGCCAAACTCTTTCCATGGAGTCATCTAAGGCTCCATTTTACGAAAGTTTCGGTTCGCATAGTTTCTTCCATACGCGGCTCTCTCTTAAGAGGTGTCATGCTTGCAATGATCACATCCGAGCCTCACGTTGTCCAAAGAATTGTCACTCGGATTAGAACTCTTTCTAATCCCACTTCATGATGAACCAATTTCATCTCCTACCTGTTTATAGTGAGAGAACAGCGAATATCAGTTGTGTGGCGAATTGGAAGTTCAGTCTGAGGAAGAGTGTGAATATTTGTATCTAATTGATTAAATTGGTCGACGGGGTGATATGTAGTTCACCCCGATATCATAGGATAAAATTATTCACAATAATTCTGAATTAAACAAACATATGGTTTGAAACAAGAATCAGCTGATTTGAGGAATAGTGTTTTTTAGAACTGCTGGTAATACAAATAATACTACTTTAAATTTTGTAATTATGGACATTGACTTTGGATAATGCAAGTAGACTTTTCATCACACAGTTCAGTAAAATCTGAAGCCATGCGTGAAAAACTTACGTTAGTCAACTTTATGTCTCTTAATTTTAAAATTTAAATTCAACGATGTTGGGCTAACTCTTTCGGTATAAAATTTCAGGACAATATTGGTTTGTAATTAGATTATTGTATTTAGTCGAATATTAACTACCAAATACGATGTTATATAATATGAAAGTGTCGTGAACAAAAAAATCCCTCTGCATGAACCTGAAGGAAACATCTTTAAAATAATTGTCCTCAGCTAATCAATAAATATGGTAATTATATGAAAGAGTGTGTTTAACCTATGTTATAGACGGGGACAGCTAACTTACAAACCTAGTAAATTATATTGAAGGTTCACCTGCACTACAGGCTCGTATATAAAATACCCCCGCCACAGCAAACCTGCAGACTTAGTGAATTTTCATTTGCCTGATTGGATTTACACTAAAATGTCTCCTTAAAAATATTACATTTATTCCCTATTTAAATATAATTAGTTTAACGAGTGTACTAAGGTTTGCTGCGACAGGGTGGGTAAAAGTTTTTTGTTGCAAAATTTTAATACTGTAGATTAGTAACAAATTAATGTATTTTCCAAATTAATTTGATCAAAATATGTTCATAAATAATCAAAACTACAACAGTTGACTTATTCTCCATAAGAATAACATGGGAATTTTAAATTAAATTTTTTTGGAAATTTTCTCCGTAACCATTAGGCGCATAATAACGCTTCAATATACATTATTCGTTGTTTTTTTTAAGCTCTACAAAATGGTTTGGAAAGAAATTGTGAAATTTTGTGTTTTTAGGGTCAAAAATGGGGAAATCTATTTTTATCCCATCCCCCCATAAACCCCCGTTCCCATAGTCCGATCAGGCTGGTTCACGATCTCGTTCGAATGAATGTAAGTTTAAACGTTTGTACCAAATTTCATCAAAATCGGATCATTTTTGCTCAAGTTGTCGTGCTAACGGACACACACACACACACACACACACACACACATATATATATATATATATAATATATATATATAATATATATGTCTACGAATTTGAACGGATGGTGTTTTTGGCCTCTAGGGACCTCAAAACGAAAAAGTAAATTAGTCCCGGGTCCAGGTCTTACCATGAGTACTACGGTAATAGCTTATTCCCTATATGGGAAATTCGCCAATAAATGAAAGGATACACCTACTTTACAGATCATACTGCATAATGGGCCTAGTGTCTTTATTTAAAAACACAGTAGCAATGTCCGCTTTCTCTACGGATCATAGTGCCTATGAGTCAAGCGTACGAATTATTATAGTGGGACTACCCGTATTGAAACGTAAACACGAAACTACAGATTATGGTTCTGACTTAAGTACCACTGATATTAGTCAGCAACAAAACTACCATTACTTCACTCATCCTCCCCTTAAAAATGTGCCTACGACGTAAACATCTAATCAAATGTTAAAATGAGTTTGTTTTAAATCATGTATTATGACTTCTGTATATAGTCGAATGACTGAATACTAGAAGTAAACAATATGCTAGTAGCCTATAAATACCGCAATCACACATGGGTAGTCTTTACTGGGGAGAAACTAAACGAACAGGAGTTGTGCAAATTACGCGATTTGCATTCTAAATTCTACTCAGTCCTCGGTATCTCAGGTATCGAAGTCCAATGAACGTAAGAGAAAGCTACCGGTTGTAAAGAGGTGAAAAGGACAAGTTTTAGGTGAATATATTTTCATTTAAGTGAAATTTGCATATATACTTCCCATTAATGTGCCCTGACTTTGGGGAATTTTAACACATTGCCTGTTCTTATTTACAGAGCTTGAGAATTTTTTTACTATTTTCGTTGAACACCTCCAAGATTAACCGAGCGAAGCGGGCATGCAGGACCTGATTCTTTTTGAACTTATTTAAGAGTAAAGAAGGTCATGCTGTTTTATATATACAGTAGTACAATGATTATGTTAGATAGAGAGTATAACACAATGAAATTGTCATACTGTACCAGTAATGTAACACCCTATATAAATTTGATTAATTATTATATTAAGCTTAGATTTATAACATATTACTATAATTATATTGGTTAAGTGTATTGGGGCCTATTAGTTAAAAAAAAACACATATTTTTTACACTGTATTGACAATTTGTATTGAAGGTCAGCCGTAACTCAAGAGTGTTTTGTAAGTTTAGGTAAGTGCGATAGGCACTGACAGTACTTAAAAATATCTAATTACTCTGGCCCTTCTTCTATTGAGTTAAACTATAGGCTGAATAATTTCAGTGTCGGGCTAAAATATCGTAGGTTTTGTCTGTTATCTACATTTATCTTATTGTACTGTTTGTGTGAATGTACAGTGGTGCTTCAGAGTTGTTGTAATACATGTATAAATGAACTGTCAAAACAATATCGCAGACTGGGAACAATTATTCAAGTACAAGAAGTAATTAATCGATATTAAAGGATTTGATAAAAGTACGAATAAAAAGTGTATTGCACTTCTAAGTACTGTTCGAATTCTATATTTCTCTTATATTCGAAAACTTTGTTAATGTATGTGATATACAAGATGCTATAGTTAACATGAAGTGTTTCCTAAAGCTTGGCTTGCCACAGCGTTAGCAGATTCAACAGAAATAAGTTATTTACATCAACGCATACTGTCGGTAGCTCAACTCACTGCAGGTGGCTCAACTCACTGCAGGTGGCTCAACTCACTGCAGGTGGCTCAACTCACTGCAGGTGGCTCAACTCACTGTAGGTGGCTGAACTGACTTTAGGTGGCTCAACTCACTGTAGGTGGCTCAACTCACTGTAGGTGGCTCAACTCACTGTCGGTAGCTCAACTCACTGTAGGTGGCTCAACTCACTTTAGGTGGCTCAACTCACTGTAGGTGGCTCAACTCACTGTAGGTGGCTCAACTCACTGTAGGTGGCTCAACTCACTGTCGGTAGCTCAACTCACTGTAGGTGGCTCAACTCACTTTAGGTGGCTCAACTCACTGTAGGTGGCTCAACTCACTGTAGGTGGCTTAATTCACTGTAAGTGGCTCAACTCACTGTATGTGGCTCAACTCACTGTAGGTGGCTCAACTCACTGTAGGTGGATGAACTCAACTGTAGGTGGCTGAACTCACTGTAGGTGGCTGAACTCAACTGTAGGTGGCTGAACTCAACTGTAGGTGGCTGAACTCACTGTAGGTGGCTCAACTCACTGTAGGTGGATGAACTCAACTGTAGGTGGCTGAACTCACTGTAGGTGGCTCAACTCACTGTAGGTGGATGAACTCAACTGTAGGTGGCTCAACTCACTGTAGGTGGCTCAACTCACTGTAGGTGGCTCAACTCACTGTAGGTGGCTCCACTCACTGTAGGTGGCTGAATTCACTGTAGGTGGATGAACTCAACTGTAGGTGGCTGAACTCACTGTAGGTGTCTAAACTCACTGTAGGTGGCTGAACTCAACTGTAGGTGGCTGAACTCAACTGTAGGTGGCTGAACTCAACTGTAGGTGGCTGAACTCACTGTAGGTGGCTCAACTCACTGTAGGTGGATGAACTCAACTGTAGGTGGCTGAACTCACTGTAGGTGGCTCAACTCAATGTAGGTGGCTCAACTCACTGTATGTGGCTCAACTCACTGTAGGTGGCTCAACTCACTGTAGGTGGCTCAACTCACTGTAGGTGGCTCAACTCATTGTAGGTGGCTGAACTGACTTTAGGTGGCTCAACTCACTGTCGGTAGCTCAACTCACTGTAGGTGGCTCAACTCACTGTATGTGGCTCAACTCACTGTATGTGGCTCAACTCACTGTAGGTGGCTCAACTCACTGTAGGTGGCTCAACTCACTGTAGGTGGCTCAACTCACTGTAGGTGGCTCAACTCACTGTAGGTGGCGGAACTGACTGTAGGTGGCTAAACTCACTGTAGGTGGCTCAACTCACTGTAGGTGGCTCAACTCACTGTAGGTGGCTGAACTCACTGTAGGTGGCTGAACTCACTGTAGGTGGCTGAACTCACTGTAGGTGGCTGAACTCACTGTAGGTGGCTCAACTCACTGTAGGTGGCTCAACTCACTGTAGGTGGCTCAACTCACTGTAGGTGGCTCAACTCACTGTAGGTGGCTCAACTCACTGTAGGTGGCTCAACTCACTGTAGGTGGCTGAATTCACTGTAGGTGGATGAACTCAACTGTAGGTGGCTGAACTCACTGTAGGTGTCTAAACTCACTGTAGGTGGCTGAACTCAACTGTAGGTGGCTGAACTCAACTGTAGGTGGCTGAACTCACTGTAGGTGGCTCAACTCACTGTAGGTGGATGAACTCAACTGTAGGTGGCTGAACTCACTGTAGGTGGCTCAACTCACTGTATGTGGCTCAACTCACTGTAGGTGGCTCAACTCACTGTAGGTGGCTCAACTCACTGTAGGTGGCTCAACTCATTGTAGGTGGCTGAACTGACTTTAGGTGGCTCAACTCACTGTCGGTAGCTCAACTCACTGTAGGTGGCTCAACTCACTGTATGTGGCTCAACTCACTGTATGTGGCTCAACTCACTGTAGGTGGCTCAACTCACTGTAGGTGGCTCAACTCACTGTAGGTGGCTCAACTCACTGTAGGTGGCTAAACTCACTGTAGGTGGCTCAACTCACTGTAGGTGGCTCAACTCACTGTAGGTGGCTGAACTCACTGTAGGTGGCTGAACTCACTGTAGGTGGCTGAACTCACTGTAGGTGGCTGAACTCACTGTAGGTGGCTGAACTCACTGTAGGTGGCTCAACTCACTGTATGTGGCTCAACTCACTGTAGGTGGCTCAACTCACTGTAGGTGGCTGAACTCAATGTAGGTGTCTGAACTCACTATCGATGGCTCAACTCACTGTAGGTGGCTCAACTCACTATCGGTGGCTCAACTCACTATCGGTGGCTGAACTCAACTAGTCCACTTTTATTCTTAAACTGGCTACAACGTCTTCATGGGAATGGAATTTACAGTTATATGAGTCGTAAAAGCTAAAACTAATCCGTATGACTATTCAGCGACCCAGCCTCTCGAATATGTGTATCAATATCTCCACCCTATCTGTCAGAACCAATTCCATAGTTTGAATGGAAGGGAATGAAGTCACCGTAGTAAAACCACAACCAGACTCTGTGGCTCGATCACAGTCACACTTTTGCGCAGTCCCGTAGTTATTTTTCTAGGATAGGATTAGTTGCAACGGTGTTGTACATTACAGAGTTCATCACGCAACCTCTGCCTCTGAGTAGGGCGCTGAGTGGAGACTCGCATCTGTGATTATCCGCAGTCAAAGTCATGATGACAGTAGCTCTGCGCTTCTGCACTACTTCGGCTGCGTAGTAACTAGTCCGTTAGCGTCACACTGCGTTTGCGCTGAGCTGCTAGTGCTGGCTTATCCAGAGATAGAACAGAGAACAGTACGCTGTAACGCTGCTCTGGTTAAGCATTCGACCAGTACACAACCACGGTGCGATATCCATTCCGAGAACAGAGCAATGCCGTGAGTGGGAGGTATTAGGATACAACGGTACTCTACAATCTACACTAGCACTAGATTATACATTATATTGCTCTGTCCGTATACAGAAGCTTGTGTTATGAAGTTTGAAACATCTGGGGGCTCGTTGAAAAACAACTATGCTTAAGTATCAATGTAAGAATGATGGATACAGTAATTAATACAGTATATCATTTTTTTATATCTTCATTGTTTTTTAAGTTTTTAATAGGGACATTTTCAATTCAGTACATTTCAATATACTAAAGTTAATAAACGAGGGCTTCTGACTCACAAATTTCTTATCCTGTCAAAACTATATATAGTTGAGTAATGAATAGTACTACTAATCTTGAAGTAATGAACGCAATATTTACTCTATAGAATATGAAACTGCCAAATCATAGCTAACCTTTATAAACAGCTAACATTTATAGACTAAGCGAATTGTCAGTCACTTTATTTACGTAAACCCTCAGGATAACATCAGCTCAACCAAGTACTGTATTTAGGTTTACTGCCACGAGGAGAAAACAAATTGTTAAGTTGTTGTTATGATTCGAAATAAAATTTGTATTTTCTCATGATTTAAACCACAAAAGGTACCAAAGCCTACATATTTATGTCTGTAAACACTTGGCTAATAAACAATATGACCAAATTGATAAACCTGGAAACAGACTCGTTTGAGAAAAATACACAGAAAGAGTAAACATTAACAATAATGTATTGATTTAACTGAAGATGTAGGATAGGATACAGCACGCGATGTATTTAGTACATTTTCAAGTGTATTGCTAAACACACTTGCTCATACAACTGATGTAAACAAATGATAAATAAAAGTATCTTTTAATAATCCACAATAGATATGTATAATTAAATCATACGAATCGCCTAAGTATGAAAAGTAGGCGAATCGAGTGTCTATTTAGCTACCCCGTCGTACTTTATATTTACTTTATGTTTGTATACATTTTACCAACCAAAACGTTGAAACCGATATGTTACGCTAAAACTCCGAATTCGGACAATGTCCGAAATCTTTACCCACTTCACGATTGTCAGTATGAAATACTCACGTTTATTCGGACATTAGTCGAAGCGAAATGTCCAGAACGCATTGGTTATGGAGCAGTATGTTCAGGCACCGCTTGTTCTCATGCGGTTTTAAAACTATAACTTAAATACAATGTTTGCTAATTTATTTTCTAGCAACGCGCTTTTTTTAATGTTTCCCCATTATCATTGGCAGCTTTATATACATAATTTACGCCCAATAACGCTGCACCCAGCACTGTTATATATCACACCAACTGGAAAACTGTAGGTTATTTATACGTAATGTTATAACTGATATAGATTACAATACTATTAATTACCCTATACTGAGTTGGGTAGCTTAACATACAAAACAAGAGACAGATACGATTCCGAGTTTTGCATAGTTTTGTGTATGGGAAATCGAATGCAAAAAGTTGTCAACAAAGTGAGAGTCACCTTTACCTAATATGGCAAACTCTATATTGATGTGTACTATGCAAAAACCTGCTCGACTACTGTGCAGTTAAAAAATTATTTTTTGCAGATTGTATGCACATGTGCTGTGTTTAAACTATCACCGCAAAATCACTTTTAAAATGTTTTCACAACGTATTATTAGACATTCATTCGGCTGTATGAATTATAGGTGAATTCTAAAAATAAATTGTTCATGTTTTTGTAATAGAGTACTGTCGTTTAGTTTCATTCTATAGTCCAAGTTCAGTCCAGTTCTATAGTCCAATTTTATCTTATTGATTAAACCAAAATAATAGAATGGAAAACGTCAACCTTTTTTTTAAATTCGATTCTATTTTCAAAACTACATCGTGTGACAAAACCCAAAACAAAGCAAACACCTTATTGTAAACATTGGAAGTGGAATATATTGTAAAATATAATTTAATATTTAGAATTTTACCGGTTTAAAATTGCTTTATGTTTAGTGTTGTCTTTATTGCTCAAATCTATAGATTTATGTGATTATACCAAGGTTTTTCTGCATTGTGATGAAATATTATACAAAGTTACGGCCCACTATAAAATTTGCCCTATTTCACAACAATGATGAGTGAATCTACATCTACATGTATGATTGCATATTCACGATGTTCAAATCAGCTTGTTCCTATCCTACTTGTCACAAACATAAATTGAACTACAGTGTGTCTAGTTGTAATATGAATTTTGTCCGGGGAGACAGTATGCTTTGCAAAACCACAACATTGTAAAATGAGTATAATTGTCCAATTTACTATCGAATACAATCATATAAGTACACTAGATTACCAAAGAATGCCAAATAACGAGTTTATATATCGAGTTTCGGAACTACTCTCCATTCACGTCAACAGCCCTGACCTCGGTAAAATATATTACGAACCCGACATTAGAAAATTGTTATCTGTTAAAACTCAGTATCAAGAAAAGTCCTTTAAGTTCATTTTATAATAATAAACAAATGAAATTATAAATTCACAGTAAATAACGATAACATACATCACAATATGTAAGCATTATACATTATGGAAAATAATACCTGTCGGAATATTTAACACCATCATCCCATATATTTGTTATACAAATTATGTATTTCATATTATTTTAAAGATATTTCACCTCACATGATTTGAATTTCCCTAACGGCACTAGCTACCACACGAGAGCAAAACTCAAACACGCCACACAACTGCAAACGGTGCCGTTGGGCGAAGGTCTCAAAGTTCTCTATTATTATTACGGTTTTACGATTTGCATATAGTTAATATTGAAATTATAAGATTCGATCAATAACAATATTAGAAGGGTAGAATAGTTTACTTACTGGTAAATAAAGAGGTCATTGAACCCAACACTAGACACGACTGCTGGCCACTGAGGACTGAAGAAGCTGGCGGAGCAACTCCTCACTCCTCTGTCTCTCTCTATCCCTTCTCACGTCTCTCGCTCTCTTTCTCTCTATCACTTTCAATCCGTTTGCCATCCTTACTGTATCTAATACCCGTTACCACAACACATTATCAAACGTACCAGCTTCCAAACATTCGAGGACTAAAAACGTTCTCCTATGCTATTTCTGCTCAGTACTCCCGTTTAAATCTACTTATGGTGTATTGATAGCCTAGTGGACTCAAGACTTTGGTATGAGAGTAATATTTTGGATACCCGGCATTTGAGGAATACTATTGGCCAAAAAAAGGAACCATGTCCTCATAACACCTCGGTAACACCGTCGACTAATAGAGTTTCATTGTCAGTTATTATTATTGATTATTGTTGTTATTTGATCTTGCCTAAAGACCATTTATCGACCTTTTTGTCATAGGACGCTAGGCACAAGCCTGGGATTGTTTTTCACATTACTTCAGGCTAGACCTAGGGTTTACGGTATTATCACTTAGATTAAATCCATTGGTGATTCGGCGGGATTTATCTAGCATGCACTCCATTCCCGTTTTAACGAATTAGTTAACATCGGTGGAAGATTTAATTTTTTTGAGATAAAAAAGAACAAAGTACCATGTTAAAGAACTGTACATAATTTATAATACATTGATTAAGTGTTTAAATGTCACAATGGCGTTTTCATAAATGCGTTTTTATAAAGTCCAAAGGGAAATCAACAATGTATTAAAACAAAAGTTTTTTCCATAAAAGGCAGAAACTTAGACAGAATTACTGGATGAAGAGCTGATGTAAATCATCTGCGAGATCCATGCGTCAGATGGAGAGTGAGGTGGGTTCAAAAGAAAAACACCGCTGAAAGGTTACAGTAATATAAAAACTCGAGTTTCTAACGATTCTCCCCAAACTTGGGTTAGCTTTCGGATCCATTCCTACTCTGAGCTCTGGAATCCATGTCAATGATGTTTATGGGGATCAAATGTCATGAGGTGGAAATTTAATAGTAAATAGTTAGGTTATCAAGTTCTTTTAAACTAAATGTGTGATACTACCTTTAATACACGATCTTGTGTCTGGTTAAAACGTTTTTCTTTAACTATTCTCATTATATCTCATTATGTCAAAAATACATACGAACCAATCCATTTTACACCTGAAACGTAAACTACACTTCAAATTTAAACGTAAACTAAAGCTCCAATAAAGTTATTGGTTTTTTGTTAATATAAGGTATAAAGTTCAGGTAATTGATAAAAGGTAAAAAAAAAACATTGGTCGATTGCATTTTTCTACACCCTGTATACAAGAAAGTAGCAAAATATGTTGTAATCTGCACCATTTTGTAAGTTTTTCAATTATATGCTACACTTCTATTGAGGTTTAATTCTGCTTATGTTCGCTTTAGTGGTTTGAAGACTCTAAAACACGGGGTTTTTAACATTTTAAACCTAAGATAGTAGGCATGTATTAAGCAAAACTTATACTGTATTTTTGTTTCAGTTTAAACAGTAAAAACGTAAAACAGTAAAAGTTTGCATGTGTTTTCTAGTATTCAAACCAGTAAAATAAACAAAGTCAGATCTAAATAGTGTAGCATATGGTTGGCAAGCTTATAAAATGACACAGTTTTTAACATATTTTGCTACCTTCTTGTATACAGGATGTAGAAAAATAATAACATTAAAGTATTTTATTTTTTTAAATCACGGTTTTCAGTTATTTAAGAAAAAATTTTTAAATGGCAGCCCTTTTGGATTGGTGCAATTTATAAACCTGATACTTTTTGCAAAGATTTGCCTTACCTGTCACTACGTACCAAGTTTCAAGTCTATCACTCAAGGAATTCGAACGTTATGGATTCATTTGTGAAAACCACATACAGACACACAGACAGAAAACCATGCATCTTAGACCCAGTCTTAGACCCATGTTTATATGGCGTTTTTGCATTGTTTTTACCTAAGGAACAAATATACAAAAGGGTTCTAAAGAGTTCCGGGACACCCTTTACATATTATTTTACTACTATTATAATAGTAGTGCGTGGAGTAAGAAACACAACGCGGCCAAGATTTGAACGGACAACCCGTAAAAACAAAAGGTCCGATTTTAAATTTGTCTCAAAACCTAAAAAGCACCTAACATCTTATTCGCAACAGTAAGAGGAAATAGAACTAGGAATACCAGCCTCATTGATTTCAGTCCGAGCCGTCTCAACCCACTGAGGTTTTTTGCGATTGTAAATTTCCTGTGAGCTAATTTATTTATTATTATGGTTCAACTATATCATCATGCTACAGGTTTGAAACCAGTTTGACGGTGTGACCCGAGCCATTACTCATAACCCAAGCTTTGTAGACTGCAACTACAGAACTACAGGGAGGTTGATGACCTCAGAGCTAGTTGAAATAGTTATAATATAAATGTGAGAATTATATCATCCTAAAATATGATAAAATAGTTATAGCATAGAATAAAAGAAATTTAGTGACGAATCTGGAATTCGTATAACCAATATAGAACTTCAGATCATCACTTAAATTTGAATGCAAGACTAAATGAAACTTCCCAAATTAACACTTTTGGCATTTGCAGTTATAAATATGTCCAAACTTTATAATATGTGCCTGCAAGCTCCTACAAGACCAATTATTTTTGTTAAGTATAGCCTAAGGGTATTATTGTCGCTTTACACATGATGAGTAATAATAACCAACCATTTAGGGCTGGTGGTTTACTTGAACCTGTAGAACATTGAGTGGTAAGCTTTTCATAAAGTTTAATCACAGTCTATAGACCAATTATTTTTGTTAGGTATAGATAGGTATAGATGGATTAGGTATACAGTACCGTTTAGAATATATCGTCTTCGAACATTTACATGTCAACATATCTGTTACGTTAACTACGATATCGAGGCCTTTGGGATCAAACCGTATTACATATGCACACTACTCACGTAATATAAGACTGTTTTACCCCAAAGCCCTCTATTTTGTAGTTAAGTATGACCCTGTTGACCCTAGCCTAGCATGTGATCGAGGAATACTCACTATCTGTTACCAAGGGTCCATTGTATCCTATGTGTGAGAAGGCGGAAGTGCGGTTACGTTTCGCAGCGAGGCATCATGCCATCAACCGGTCGCCGCTGTAATTTGGTTTGTAGCCTCTCATTTTTGGAGAATGCCGTCCTTCAGCGCCGATCACTGTTCTTAGCGGCCATCACCACGCCACAGGAATCACTCCACACTTGACCCACGGCTCCGAGTCAGTTGCACCGCAAAACTGTAAATAACAGTTGTTAATTGAACCTTCATTTGCAGCATTAATAGTCCCTACGGTTGCGACCCGCCCCCAAGACTGCTCAACTTCAATTACACCAGTGGATGTCCTACTTTTTACTGATGCGCTTTTAATGCGTTATTCCGCTCTTAACCAGTCGATATTTTCATATATTTTATTAGAGAATTTTAAATCATAATATATTTTAGAGACTTGAATTTGAACGTAGATGTTGCTTGAAGTGCCTTGCCAATGGTTTTGAACACAAATCATTATACCTCGATTACTGTACGATCTCCATTCAACATTGATTTCATGGAGGGGAATAGTTACACCCCGATATGGGAGTCCCGCCGCAACAAACCTGCAGACTAAGCGAATCCAATAATTTGTCTCATTGCATTTTTACTAAAATCTATCTATAGAAGAAGAGTTGGTGTATGTGTGTGTGTGTGTGTGTGTGTAAGTGTGTTTGTACGCTATAGTAGATACAAAAGACTTTTTGTGCTGTCACGTTTCACCTGGGAAGAGGGTGGTTTTCCGGGTGCAGTATTCCGCATCCCTCAGGAGACCGATGAGTTTACCTAGTAGACAGCTATTTCGTATTTTGAGATATTGTACGGTGCATAATACACCAGTGGCTTCTGATTGGTCAGTTTATTGGACAAAAGTCTACAACTAAAGCAAGATGGCGGGTCCATCAAATAAATTATCAATTGTTTATCAGTTTGATGGATTATATTACTAGTAAGTGAATAATATATAAATAATTTATTATTTGAGGAAAATTTGTTAAATTTTAATATTATAAAGTAAATAGTAGGTTGATGTCTAAATGACAATCCGATATGCAACGGCTAACTCCCCTCTAAAATAGTTCTGGGATCCCATGACTCTTGACCTGGGGTGCTATCGGTAAAGTCACAGCATCAACTGCACCGGTGCATGCGTTGATGAATACATGTTCCCAGAACGTGCCCAATATAACGCACAGCTGATTTAGTCCAGTGAGTAGGGGTTTGTATTACATGGTCCGGTAGTTCTAAATTTTGTTGTCTAGGATGGTAAGTAGGTGTTTAAAATACAAAATGCACAATTCTCCCCCTTTTCGCGCCCGCCAACATATTGGAAAAATCGAATGTGTACTTTCTAGAGATTTTCGCCTATATCTCCGTTTTGGTGCGATTTAGCGAAAAATATGTAACATCAATGTTGTAGACAATTAAATTTCCTATAACATTAACAATTTGTTTCTAGGACTTATGGATACAAAGATTATCAATTAAAAAACAAAAAAATCATTTTTTTTTCTATTTTGCCAAATGTTTAGCTTTAGATCGCTGTAATTCAGTAATGGCCTATTCTAGGAAAACAAGTATCACAATCAAACTTATAGAGAATTTAATTACCGACGAAATGCTTCTATTTTTTAGGCCAACCGTTTGATGTGGGGCTGAAAAACAAACAAAACAAATTAAAAGAATGGGTTTATTTTTTCATTGGGTATGATGCAGGTACTATTCCCCTTACAAATATCCACTGGTGAGAGGAGGTGTTAAATTTCAAACATCCCACCTTAAAGATTCATTTAATATAAGTAATTGAAAAATAAGTAATTTAAATGTTGTAAACAGTTAAATTTCCTATAATATGTGTATAATAATTTGTAAAACAACATGCTGTTTGG